ATTCTCCAACTGCGTGTTCCTTTCCAGCTCTAAATTTCCCAGATCCATGAGGTTCTTTTGGTCATCCTTTGTCCATTTAATGACAGATTTACTTTCATCTTCTTTGTCACCTGTAACTTCTTCCTCCTCTTCTTTGAACCCTAAATCCCATTTCAGAAATCCATATTATTAAAATTTAAAAAGTTGCTAAATTCCACGTATTCAACTCTTAGTATGTCACGTTTTAAATTTAACCTCATTAACTAAATTTAACGGTAGAGGCTCAATTGATTCAAATTAACACTTATAAGAACTCAATTGAGAATTCTAATAACAAAGGGATCAAACTGGGAAAACCCAACAAAAATAGGGACAACTAAAGAGATTTAACCTAAGATAAATGTCAAAATCTTGTAAGATGTGACATGTTTAAACTAGTATTTTGACCCGTGGAGTCGCAAGATTTTTTTTAAAATGTTTTAATATTTATAAAAATATATTTTATTATATAAGAAATAATAAAATGTATTTTATTTAGAATAATAATACTAGTTAAAATAATGAATAATGAAATATTATGATAAGTTTGTTTATAACAACATAAATTGTTTTTAAATATATTTATCTATAATGATTTAATATAAAGTAATATGTTGAATTTTAAATAAATTAATAAATTTGGTATATAAATAAATAATTGTTAAATTAAATTACCTCAATTTTTATTTTTTCAATTTATTTTTAATAAAAATCAACTTAAATTATCATTAAATAGATTATATACACACCTTTCCAAATTATTATTGACATTTATAATTTAAAATAACTGGAACAATTAAAATCACATGATATAAAATAATTTATATTTTTTGTTTTTATTATAAAAATAACTATATATAGTTGATCAGGTGTGCATTATAAATTCAAGTTCATCCCTATAAGTGATTTACTTTAACTATTAGTTATTATCATTCACAAAAACATAGATACATGTGAATAGATATATGTGAAGTTGTCTTTTTTGAATAAACCAAATATAGATATTTTGTTATAAATGTTTTTACTTATAATTATAGTAATTAAAATAACATAACTGTCAAAATCATTTACTTGCAACTTTGTTTTATTAATATAAAAATATTATAAGTAAACATATTTTCAATTTAACCCGAATATTTAATGTATTAAAAACCTTTTATACAACTATTCATTTTGAATTTTGCTGTCTTCATTTAATTGAAGGTATGTTTGAATTTACAATTTTTTGGTGCAACTCAAAATAATTTCTCTGTGCAATTTGGAAGTCTGAGTGTTAAAGGTGTACAACTTTGTAAGTGTTCTATATTAAAAAAAAATATTTCACATCTTGATTCCTTTATGACAATAACCCAAAGTTAGTCTAAAATCATCTCCCACACAACAATTTTACCATCAAGTAATTTATCATTGTTTTTTTTTAGCTTTCATAATATATTTGAAGTTCAACAAAATTCCTCAAAACATAATTTTTCATAATGTATAATCAATTTGATTTTCATAAATATTGTACTAAGTAAAATTAAAACTATAATAATTAATCTATTAAAAAAAATTCTACATTAATCTAAAAAAAACTATATATTTCTTTTGTGCAAAAATATCTACGTTTTGTTTTATTTTATTATTTTAGTAAAAAGAATCGATTTTTTTTTATATATAATCAAAGTTAGTAAGAGAATTTATAAATGAAATATTGACGTTAAAGTTTATAATTAAAAACTAATTTTAATAATTCATAAAAAATATTTATTTTTATAATATTTAACAAAATTGTAATTAAAGTTTTAGATTTTTTTTCTAAATGTTTTCTCATAAAATTTGTAATTAAAATTATAAAAAATTTACTCACGTTTATTTTTTATTATAAATTTTTTTAATAAAAACATATTTCTTTGTGTTTAAAATATTTTTTTAATAAATTAATGCATTTTTTATATTTTTAAAAATATTTATTAAATTTTGATATATTAATTAAAATATCACGACTAAAAATATAATTATGTATTTATCATTTAACTTTATTTCTAATATATATATATATATATATATATATATATATATTAATATAATGTTATCTAAAATCTATCCTAAATAAAATTTTAAATATTTGTGAATATTTTTTTAAATGATATTTGATGAATTATTTTGTTATAGATGGGATAGTATGTTAACATTATTTCGATTTGACTGTTGTCATTCTTAATTGAAACCATTATAAAAAATTTCTTTTTGAAATTCTTTTCAACAATATACACCATGTTCATAATCAACTTATAATCCATCAAGCCTTACAAATTCACAATAAATATACATAAAACTTATGACAAAATACCTCAAATAATTAATATTAAAAAATCACAGAAAATATACACTAGGTTAAGAGTGACGCTTAACACACAATTTAAGATTAAAATTATTTCAAACCTACAGTAAAAAGTGACACTATAAGAAAATTGAAAATTATAATATCTTTGGATAAAAAATTTCTTACTTGATACATGTAAAACTTTTAATTTTATTAAAATTATTTTATTTTAAAAATAATAAATCATAATCAATACTATTTTTTAAATATAGATCAAAACAATATTTTGAGTTATAATATTTAAAAAATATATTATTATTTTTTTAAATATAACATAATTTTGTAAAGCAAGCATTCTTCTAAATCCTGTCACCAAAATTAGATGAAGCACATATTTCATTATTCTAGATAACTTAACAAGAAATAGCATTTTTTAGAAGTTTGTTTCAATTGAAAAAAAAAATAGTTGAAAACTCATCTCAATATTGCACTAATGTTAAATAAAAATTATATTTTGTTATAATTGTAATTAAAATAAATAATTTTTATTTTTGAAAGAATCATTTACATTTTATTTTAAGTTTAAACAAATATTTTGATTACAATTTGATATTATTTTTTTCTGATCTGTTTATATAATTTCATTTTGATTTGTTGTTTTTTTTTTAATCAGTCAATCAGGGTTAGATAGGCGGCTAGGGTTTTGACTTTCTTATGCTACCAAAAGGCTTAAACCTCCCATTTGCCTCTCCACATTCCCTTCCTTTCTCTTCTTCGCCCTCTTATTAAATACCGGTGATCAATCTCCTAAAAGATCAAACTTTCATCAACCCCCTAGTTTCTTTCCAACATTCTCATCTGGGTCTTCCCAATTTTTTGATTTCATCTTTCTCTCTCTCAGAAGCTGTCCACAGTCTAGACTCTTACCTTTTCTTTATTGTCTGTTCAGTATTGATCATTCGATTATTGAATATCAGTGTTTTAAATTTGATAAAGTTATTGATTCAGTTTATTTTGGGCTTGAAACACTACTGGTTCTCTAAGTCCATTAGCGAAGAATCAAATCAAGATAGAATCAAAATTTGATTGAATTTGATCAAAATTTCGCCATGAGTTTCTCTGACCACATTCCATCTTTTATGATGTCACCGCCGTCATTTTCGACAGACACAGATGCCATTGAAGTGAGGCTTCAATTTCCAATGAACAACGAGGAGGAACATTCACAACAGGATCAACCCCCTTCGTTCAAGAGGGCAAGAATTGGTGATAACAATCACTCCTATCCAATGGCATGCCCTCCAAAGATGATTCAGAACCCCAATTTTAATAAGGGAACCAGCCACATTTTCTTCAAGACTCGCATGTGTGCAAAATTCAGAGTTGGGGCTTGTAGGAACGGTGATAATTGCAACTTTGCACATGGAGTTGAGGACATGAGGCAGCCACCCCCGAACTGGCAAGAGCTTGTTGGATTGCGCAATGAGGAGAGGCTACCCTCCGGGAATTGGGATGATGACCAGAAAATTATACAGAAGATGAAGCTGTGCAAGAAGTATTGTAATGGGGACGAATGCCCCTATGGTGATAAGTGTAGTTTTCTTCATGAAGACCCTGCCAAGTTCAGGGATGATTCGGGGAGGTACAGAGAGAGCACAGCTATAAACATCGGAACTAATGGATCTCCCAAGGCATATGGTGATCCTTCAAATTGTTTAGAGAATAATAAGGTTGTCAACACTGGCTTAAATGTTTCCCGCTCGAATGTTAAGTCCACTTATTGGAAAACTAAACTGTGCATCAAATTTGAGACAACAGGGCACTGCCCCTTTGGGGATGACTGTCACTTTGCTCATGGGCAAGCAGGTACTTCGAATTTCTCTTTTTGATTGATTGATTGTTGGTCTTGGTTCTACATTGTTTCATTTGTTCTGTTAGATCATTTTGAAATCAGTTATTGATTTAGACCAGATTTGGTTAAAATTTTCCTTAATCACTTGTAGAAGAAAAGAGTAAGTCGAATTTCTAATTTGTGCAGTTTGTCTTCTATGAATATTGTAGAAAAAAACTATATAAACATAGCTCCTTCTAGGTTATGTCTGGAACTAGAAGATCTATTATGCTGTTGTACTTGTTCATGATCTAATCTCCAAAGAGATTGCTTCCTAAACAAACAAGATACAAAGAGCGTGCTTGATTGAGTGTCATTTGGTCTTTGTGTATGAGCATTGAGTATTTCTTGGTGCAACAAATGTTGCTTCTGTTCAAAAGTAATTAAACACTTCTATAGTGTTTAATTAAAATCTTTGTTCACATGTCACATATGCATGGAAATATACATTTTACTATAAACCCTCGTTAGGAATTTTCTGTGATAGAAATGTCCTAGATTTTCTCTATAATTAAGTAGTTGACCATCTATTTTGTAATGCATTAAAATTAAAATACAAAGAGTGCACTTGACTGAAGTTTATAGTAGTTTGGTTTGGCATACTTTGTGAAAAAAAAAAATCTCAGAGTGTTAACAATAATGCCCATGCTGAAGAATTAAACATGGTGTCATGGCCCACTTGATTATTTATTTCTTTCAAATATATCACAAGATCAGGATATTGCTTCTGCATAATTCCGAACGATCAATTTGCCAGCATCACTTGATTTCTGCTAATGGCTCAGATATTTGATGCCTGGCTCATAAAAAATTTAGATGTACTTTCACTAGGATGTGATATTAACTTTATGTTCTTATTGTGAGCAAAATGTACGTACACTCTAGAAGTACCATGATTTCCTTAGTGTTTTTTTGTTGCAAACCCAGAGCTACAATTTCCTGGTGGACGCAATGAGGCAGAAACTGCAGGTGCCGTTCTAGTTTCAAATAAAGCTACCATTCCAACCTTACCAAGAGCTACACCAATTCTTTCTAATGATGCTCCTCCAAGCCAGAGAGCAAGTGTGCCTCCTGCAAATGAAGAGGAGCAGGGCAAGAAGCATTTACTGAAGTGGAAGGGACCCAAGAAAATCAACCGAATTTATGGTGATTGGCTTGACGATTTACCACTAGGTCACAACTTGCCAGGTAGAGTTGGAATCTGATTTGAAGTCTGTGCTCTTGAAAAGTCTCAACAATTGGATTAGGAGATTGAATTCTTCATTGCAGACAGAATTTTGAAGTGTGATCATTCGTTGATGGTGATCAGTTCATAGATTTATTTGTTCTTACTTATTTTTTCTATCAATTGTTATAGTTTTCTTATTCTAATTAGAGATGTGCAATCTCATTGTACATTGAGGTTTTGATGGATTTAGGACTTTAGCCAAATTTGTGAGAAGAAAACCAAATTCTGAGTTGTGTGCATCCTGATTCGGGTTCATCAATTGTCAAATTTTCTGGACCGAACCCAGGTCTTAAATAGTTAAACTATAGTATTCTATTTTTACTTATACATTGAATATGATCATTGGGCCTCTGGTACGTTCTCTTTTTCCACAGTTCCATCTCACCATACGTTGTTCTCGTAGGTTTCAACGTTGGATAAAGCTTATTGCAAATGATCCACACAATTCATAGAAAGAAATGTTGAGAAAACACTTATTGTGTGAATTTTTTGCAAGTTTACTTAAAATAGAAGGGTTGTGTTTTTGTAAGATATGTATCTGCATCGAAATAAAGCTGTGTGACATTCAGGTTTAGCAGTAATTCTATGATTTGTTATCTCTTGTTATGACTGGTTATGTAACCAACATTTTTAAAATGAAAACTAATTAGCAAACTAAAACTAGTTATAAAAGATTGGTTATAATATGGTTATAAAAGGTTGACCTAGCTACTTATTATAGACTTTTTTAAAAGGTTTAGTCTAACCTATGAATCTTTTTAAAAATTTATTTTACTATATCAATATGGACCTAAGTATAGATCAGTTTATTCAATTCAAATCACATTAGCAAGCACAAAAATTATACATACATGTATAATTGTTAAAATAAACTTAACCTAATCCACATACCCATAAAAAACTGCAAGTCGAGTTAGACCATATGTTCTAATTTGAATTGGATTATTTTTACCTCATCGTATTTGACCTAATCTAAATGGATTTATTGTTGGGAAAATCTCACGATACACACTTAAATTGAGTCTTATTATTCATTATAATTGAAGGGCTTTAAATAGCCCTAACACTTATAATATTACAAGGAATAAAAATAAAATATCAACTATCTTAAAAATAAAATCTGTTTAATCTATCATAAAATAATATTGTACTTAGATAAACCGAAAATCATAACTACTTATCCCTATTTTATCTCTATCAAATCAAACTAAATATTACTATACCCAGAAACTAATAAAATAATATTTAAACAAAATTATTAATAAAACCCTAAAATTTAAGTTTATCCCAACAAATTCCCCCATAAACTTAAATTCTTTCTTCCTTCGTTCGACTTTCCATGTGCATCATCCTACTCCGGGTTTGCTTCTTTCAATCAAATTTGAGTTCTTCTTTTTCCTTATTACCCTCCTATCTTTTACCTTGGTTGACCTCTTTAATGCTTTGACTGACTTTGTTATGTCCGACTTCTCAATAACCTTAACCAACTCGTTCCTGACCTTAGGCGATTTCTCAACCATCTCTGCCGACTTCTTCATCGGGTTCTTCTCAACATCTTCATCTTCCTCTTCCTTTTCAAGAGTCACCTTCTTCAACTCCTCAAGCTCAACCCATGTTTATTCATAATTTCATTAGCTTACTCTAGAAGTTTTCCTATCCGCTGAATCTCTTCACCTTTTTGTTTGAGTTCTTTCTCCAGGTTTTCCTTCTCCACAATTGTTGCATCCTTTACTAAGATCACTTCATCCATTGTTGGGATTGGGCTCTCCATTTCCATTGCATCCGAGCTCTTTGCCATCAACAGGATTCCACACTCTTCTTCAACATCTTCAGTAACGAGATTCGTCTCCCCTTTTATCTCGGTTTTGCAATACTTTGCAATATGACCAAACTTGCCACAATTGTAGCACTTTGTTGACCTACACTCGTTTGCATAGTGGTCGTACTTGTCACACTTAAAACACTCCACTCTTGACGGATCTCCTCGACCTTTTCCTTGTCCTCGGTCATGCCAATTCTGCTGACCGGTTTGATCTTCATTATCATTACCTCGTCCTCTGCCACCAGGACCTCGGCTTTGAATAATCCGAGATTTATTCGAGGACAACTCCCTCATTTTCATCCATCTCCATATGTTCAAACTCTCTTCTAAGAGCTTGTACTCGAACCTGCTTCACGCGGGTATCTCCTTTGTATGCCACCTTCAGAATTTCCCATGCTTCTTTTGCTGACTTTGCATTAGCTATTTTCTCGAATCCAGATTCATCCACTACATTATACAAAAAGTACAAAGCCGATTTGTCTTTCACTCGTGTCTTTTTCAATGCAACAATCTAGTTCTCTGTCTGATGCTCATCATCAACAGGTTCATTGTACACGTCCTCCACTATGTCCCATACATCTTGGGATCTAAGAAGAACCTTCATCTGCAAAGACCAATTGTCGTAATTGGTATTTTCCGACAATTGTGGCACACTCATCCCATTGAATACCTTTGCCATCTCTCACAAAAAAATCAAGCACTCACTTTTTCTCTCACGGTGTTTGATTCTCTCCTCTCTCTCTTTCTCTCTCGTTACTCAGAGCATAAAGCTCTTATACCACTGTTGGAAAAATCTCACGATACACACACTCAAATATTTTCCTGAAATTGAGTCTTATTATTCATTATAATTGAAGGACTTTAAATAGCCATAACACTTACAATATTACGAGGAATAAAAATAAAATATCAACTACCTTAAAAATAAAATCGGCTTAATCTATCATAAAATAGTATTGTACTTAGATAAATCGAAAATCATAACTACTTATCCCTATTTTATCAATACTATTTAAACAAAATTATTAATAAAACCCTAAAATAAGAGATGAATACACACATACACATAGATATCTCCAAAGTGATAAGATATTGTCCGCTTTGGGCCAAGCCCTCACGGATTTGTTTTTGGTACCACTCCAAAAGGCCTTTTAACAATGGAGATTTGTTATGTGTATATAAACTCATGTTCATCTCTTATTTTATGTGGGACTTTGTTTGTAGCCAACATTTACATGAGGTCATTTATAAGATAATAGTTATAATTAAAAAGTTAAAATAATATATATATTTTTAACTTGAATACATATATTATAGTTTATATATACATACATATACATATACATATACATATACACACACACACATATATATATATATATATATATATATATATATATATATATCAATTTTTCATACCTAAAATTTAAATTTACATTCAATAATGACTTAAATTTTAAAAATTTATATTTGTGTTTTTATTTATTTAATTATTTAATTTCTATTGATATTCATTTTAAACTTGGTTGTTAAAAACATGTATTATAAATTAATTTTTATTAAATAAAAAAATTGTATCAAACAATATAGATTCACGTAAAATATTTATTGTTTTAATGTTTTTGTATGGTTTGTAGTGTAGCCAAGTCATGAGTGGGACAGGAAACTGAAAAAAGTGACACGTGTCTCACTATTGATATTTTGCACAACCATTATCATCACTTACCAACCACTTCTAGTCTCCCTTTTGACCTTTCACCTGTCAAAAATGGAAGCAAAACTTGAACTTGTCAAGTTTCTTCACTGCTTTGCAAAATTCTTCTTCCATAACAGACTCTCCCACCAAACTGCGGTATCTCTAACAAGATATTTCTCGCAAAAGCAAGACTTCTCCCGCCACCATGTCCATAAACGTTCACTCCCATGCCTTCGCTGGCAACCCTCTTCTCTCCAAATTGTCATTTTCAGGCCACCCCCTTCCACCCTCTTCAGCTCTTGAAGCGCTCAACGCGAAAATTGGGCTACCAAATACTCATTCGTATCCATCCCTGAGCTTCAAGGTACTACCTTTCAGAAATGGGCGGCTCTTGGCTTCTTCCGAGGCCAGCTCCGGCGACTCGCCGCCGATTTGGCATCTGGGTTGGCTCGGCTTGGACGATCTCAGGGTTATTTTCGACAAGTCCGGTGCCCAGTTGAGTGTGGACTCGTTGGTGTATCTGAATTCGAGTGCAGAGGACGACGCCGTTTACTGGGCAATCGATGTTTCTGCTGAGGTAATTGAATTGGGTAGCAAAACGGGTTTGCGTTTTGTGGAGCTTCGAACGCTCATGGTGGCTACCGACTGGTCGGATTTGCAAGCAATGGGAAGCTTGGCTATTGCTGGTCATGTAAGTTCATTTTGAAACATGATCAAACCACTAAGTATTTTTGTTACATAATATACATTATCACTGAAATAGTTACAAATTCTAATTATATGAAGCATATTAAACAAAAAATCTTATTACTTTGAGAAATAAAATTATAAATATAGTCTATTAAGTTATATTAGAGTTATCAAAGTTATCACTTTAATTGGTGAGTGCCACTCTGCATTTTAGCCAAACATTTTATACTGTAAAATGCGCAATTTCTTAGAGGCGTCAAATTCATAGTTATCTATTTAACTTATTTTAGTTGGCCTTTTATCAAACTATTACTTATATAGTGAATTAGTGTATGATACTGTCGGAGCAATGTCAATGCAACTTCTTAATAAATGGTTTGGCCTAGCCAGGCTAAGGCACTGCTAGAATGGCATAATGTATCACGATTTTGTGGACATTGTGGTGAGAAAACAGTCCCAATGGAAGCTGGACGAAGGAAGCAATGTTCTAATGGTTCATGCAAAAAGAGGATATACCCGCGTGTTGATCCGGTTAGTTGTCTTCTGTTTCTAAGTGTTGATTTGATAAAAGGACGATCAAGTGTTTGATCAATTATTTGTTTGTTGCTTACATGATCTTATGTAGGTGGTCATTATGCTTGTAATTGATAGAGAGAATGACCGTGCTCTTTTGGCTAAGCGACCAATGCGTCTACATCGATTGTATACTTGCTTATCAGGTTTCATAGAGGTACATCTCAACAATTTTAATTTTTAAGACCTTTCATTTTGTAGGGACTCAAAAAGGTTTTCTATTGTTACAGCATTAGGTAGCATAGCTTGGTAAATTGACATTTTTCTGTTTGTGTTCCTTGAAGCTTCCTTTTATGTGGTCTGGAATTCTTGAACTTCCTTTGGTTCTGTAAATTGGTCACTATTATAGGTGCTGACAGACAAAAACTCTGTAATTTTTATCTGTGACAAGTTCAAACTTCTCCATAAAAGGAAAAAAAAATGCTTCTAAGGCCAGGTTTCGTGAGCTTAAGAGTTTTTTTTTTTGTCTGGGGATTGTTTCATAGTTGTTTTCGATTTGATTTTTTTTTCCTTCTATACAAAAATATAATTAGTTTCTATCCCCTTGTTCCATTTAGCCAGGAGAAAGCTTGGAGGAAGCTGTAAGAAGAGAAACATGGGAAGAGACTCGTGTTGAAGTGGGAGAAGTTGTATATCACAGTTCTCAACCGTGGCCTGGTATATCACTTAATGTTTATTAAACTGTAGTCTTTGATAATTTTATCATTTCTCTTTTGTTTGCATGAGAAACATAGGTAACAAGCACAACCAAAAGCTTTTAGAAAATGATAGTCTGGTGATTTATTAAACAGAAGGTTATATGGAGACACATTATTCAACACAGGTGGGGCAGCATGTTAATAATAGATATAGAAAAAGTAGAAGCTTTTCCCCCAGTAATTCATAGGTAAAGACGATCCAGCCAATAATGATAAACTAACATCAACCACATGTCAATGTTTTCTTTTTATAGAACCATTTTGTTCATGTGTATATGGACAAGTTAGGTGATGACATATTCCATACTCACGTAAAACAGTAAAAGCATAGAAATTCTTTAGTTTATCTGTTTGAATGCATTTTAGTTTGCAACCAGTTTTAGTTTCTGGAAAAACTTTGAACAGTTTGAAAACAGATGCACTTGAGATTTGGAGTGTATCAAGTATAGCCAAGTATAACGTGAGAAAGCATCAAGAAATGGAATGTAATAACGAGTTAGGAGCAGATCCTCATATATCAATAAACACTGATTGTAAAGGAGCAGTGTAAACAGTGTTTGATCTAGAAAACGGAAGCTGATGTGACTTAGCAAGAACACACGATTCACAAATAGTATTCGGTTTATTACAAGATATATTGCAGTAAGCACACTTTGAACAACATTGGATGATGCATAGCCAAGTCTTGAGTGCCAAAGAGTAAACGTAGATTTCACAGGTTTATAAGTAGCAGAGTGCACATAGTATTTGTTTGCATATATAACAGAAAGGGAAATCATATAGGGCATCTTTAAGATTTCCATGTACAATTATCTCCTGAGTTGCCTGGTTTTTAACATAGCAGGTGTTAGAGTGAAATTCAAAAAAGACATTATTATATTTCGCAAATTTAGATACACTCAAGGTTCTTCGTAATTTCCGGAACATGCAAAGGATTATTAAGCAAGATTGATGATTGTGTGAGTGGAAACCTAAAACGTGCAGTACCTACATACATGACAGATGCGCATACCTGAGCCATTTCCAAGTTGTACAACGTCATTGCAGTTGAAGACGTGTGTTTTGCTGAAAATATTAGCATGATTGGTAATGTGATGTGTGGCTCCACTATTACATGAGAGAAAAAGTTGAGAGGAGTTAGCTGTTATAGAAGTAGAATTGTCTTGTTCATACCGGTGCCAACAGTCCAGAGCATTATGACCATTTTTTCCAAATATTTGATGTTGGAGCCGATTCATGTGGTTAGTATTATGTGTTGTTGAGTTTCTGGTATTGTTTCTGAAAGAAGACCTTGAGTTTCTGTTGTTAAATCTGAACCTGCTATTAGTGTAAGGGCAGAAATGGAAAAGCACAAGTGGTAAGGGTAAAACCGAGAAAGCACAGGTAAGAGATAGGATTAAGTGATAATCCCACGTGCAAGAAAGAGAAAGATGAATCAGAGACTTAGAGAGAAAGAGAGAGAGAGAATGAGAGCTCGAGAATGGAGAAAACTAGGGTTCGTAACCCTTGCTGGAAAAGCAGAGATGAAGGTGATCAGAGTAGAGAGAAAATGAAAGCAAGCACACATACAAGGTACTGAGTAACATCTGAACTGTTTTTGTTTATTCTAACACTCCTCCTAAACAAAAACGTTTAGTCGAACAAAAACTAGATTTTTCTGAAGAAAAACACTTGTTTCACCGATTCAATCGGTGAAAATTCTTCTCCTGTGATTCTGAGCACTTTCCACCGATTAAACTCGGAGAAAGCTCTTCCTAGGTAGAT